ATAAGAGTAAGTGAACAACAGAGGTAGACTCACCCTCCGGAGTTACCGATACGGAAGCAGCCAGGCTTGATACCACCAACGGTCGCAGGACCAATGATGAGGACGCCCTTCTCCTTGGCGAGGTGGAGGATCTCGCGCGCGTGCCTCTCAGGGACACCCTCAGCAATGAGCGCAATGCTCTTGATCTGGGGGAACTCGAAGATCTCGAGCGTGCTCGAGTACACACTACGCGACGAAGCGAAGTTAACGACGACGTCGACATCGGGGTGCTTCTTGACGGCATCCGCAACGCTTGTGTATACGGGAAGGAGCGTCTCCTTCGTGCCCCAGTAGAACTTTTGGATGTGGTGGCCACCGAAGGGGTAGATCATCGCAGCGACACTAGGCGTCTGGCGGCCGCAGGAGTAGTCGAAGTCGAGCATACCCTGGATCGCACGTGGCTGGAGACCGTACACGAACGAGCGGGTCTGTGCATCGAAGGGGCGGAACCACGGGCGCGAGTGGCCGCCGTCGGTCTTATGGTCAAAGCTGACAATTTGGTCCTGGGCCTGCGTACGCTCGCCGTCGGGGTGAATCGTGCCCACGGTTGGCTCGGCCTCGAGGTTCCTGCTGGACGCATCACCCTTGGGTGAAGGCGGGCTGATGGGAGTGGCAGCGATGGAGTGGATGTTCGACTGCTTGCTAGAAACCCCGAGTGCGAGCGGAACGATGGCGGTGATGTGGGTGTCGGGGCCGTAGACCTTGATGGGGACACCAAGAGATTCGCCGAGGAGGCGCATAGCCTTCAGGCCCTCCTGGTAGTTAGGTCCACCACGACGGACGTAGATTTTGACCTGGTGGTTAATGAGGGGAGTCTTGTATTCCTTGAGCGCACGGATGATACCCTTGAAGGTAGCCGCAACGTTGGTGAAGTTGGCGATACCACCACCGATAATGAGGATCTTGCCGTCAGGGCGAGGAGTGCCGCGGGTCATGAGGTCAACTGCAAGGCAGCGTCAGACAATCCATTATGAGCCGAGAGCAGCACGAGTACTCACGGATGGTCTTCGCATACTCGTACGTCTGACCCTCGGAAGGAGCACCAGAGTACTCGCCATAGTTGGCGAGCTCGTGCGCGAAGCCGTGAGCCGCGATGGCATCGGAGTAGACGACCGAAGCACCACCACCAGCGACCATCGTCCAGATGCGACCCTCAGCGTTCAGAACAGTGAGCTTCAGCGAGGCACCAGTAGAAGCATCGAGCTTCTGGATGTATGCCTCCTCCTTGGTCAGGTCACGACCGAAAGGAGCGGGCCAGACCTGCAACACTGTCAGCACGAAGTGTGAATTCGCTCGAAGAGGGACGTACCATTGGCGGGCCACGGTCAGCAGAGACAGTCTTGCCCTTCGTCGTCGTGGCGGCGGGGCCGCTCTCGTACACGGACAAGTCACGGGCAATCGCCCACTTGGGTCCACAGATGGACTCAGCGGTCTGGTCCAGCTTTGCGGCCATGTCGAGGTAGTGGATGGTGGGTTGGCCGCCGTTGACCCCATCGAGGACGACGAGGGGGTTAATCTCGAGGTAGGCGAAGTGGAGGTCGACGTAGACGGAGTAGAGGCGGATGAGGAAGTCGACGAGAGTCTCTTTCTTGGAGGCGGGGACGTGCTTAAGGAGGGTGTCGGCGATGACTTGGCGGGAAGGGAAGGGCTTGCCGACAGGGAGGCTGAGCTTGAGGGCCTTGGCGTCGACATCACCAATATCGACACCACCTTCGTGGGTGAAGAGAATGTAATCGCCCTCCCGCTCGGAGTTGATGCAGACGTAGTATTCAGCATCCGAAGGGTGAGGAAGGAACGGCTCAACGATGAAGTTGTTCAACGTGCCGGTCACAGACTCGACCTGGATGAATTTGCGATTAGCATATGGTTAGGCCTCGCGCGTCGATGATAGCAGGAAGCATCTGCTGCATCGCCAGCAGGTTTCACCCAAAGGCAACACAACTGAATGGGCACGTAGGTATATGCGCCACCCGGCGGTAAACATCGCCCAGAAAGCCCAGGCACGTTGACTTGCAAGTTGGATTTCTCCCGCATACAGACGGCACCGATCAAACGTAAAAGCAGCCGGTACCTTTCTGCATCGAGGATCTCGGATCGGTACCGCGTGGGCAGAACGCGGTACGGTGGAGTCACGTGTCCCCATATAAAACGCGTCTAAGCGACCTCGCGTCGTGCGCGAGCTTAAACGCGTCGTGATCCATGAGGTGAAACGGAGAGCAGAAGGTGTGAAGTGCAGGGAACGGAGAATTAGCAGGCGCAGCGTGTCGCGCAATCGATCTCGCACGGCGGCGCCAGAGAGATAGAAGCGATGGAATGGGCTGGGCAAGACGCGCTCACCTTCTGGGGCTTGCCTGCCCTCTGCTGGATCCACTGCTTCGCCTCCTCCCAAGACTTGTTGAGTGCAAGAAGGCCGGCCTTGCCACGACGCTTGATGAGCTGATCGGGCTTCACGACGAGCTTAGTCGTGAACACCCAGCTCGGGAGCTGGGTGTCGGGCGTGATTGCGTTCGTTGCAGGGTCCCATGCGATCTGCGCGACCTTGGGAGACGGGTAGACAAGTTTAGTGGCTACCTGCGCGGAGGGGTCGACAGCAGGTGCGCGCTCGAGCCAGTACGCGAGGATGAGCTTTGCGTCGTATTCACGGATGGCTGATCGGAGTCAGCGATATATGCGGGTGTCTGGTCATGCATGCACACCTTTCGAGGACATTTTGGACGACTATGAGGAGACGGAGGAAGGGGGATGATGGGGGAAAGCAGGAGAGGGCGAGGGCGGCTGTCTGGACAGGCCGTTGACGGTATTTAAGGCCTGGAGAAGGTTAGGCGGGTGTCGAGGTCGCCTCACTTCAGAAAATACGGATGGGGGCATCATGGATCTCAGATAATGTACCTTCCATATCCGGCGCTTTCGCATATAGCCCCCAAATTTCGCACGAGGCGTCTATCTCGTCCCGTCATTCTTATTGGCCCGCGCGACATTCGCTCGTACGACCTGCGCTGCACAGCTCTCAGTCCAGCGACCGCCAGACATCCTGCCAACGACGACGTGCGCGTACGCCGAGTCTGACCATCGCTTTCTCGTCCCAGAGTAAATGATGAAACACGTTCTGTCTCCATCTTGTCCCTGTCCATTGCATTTCGCTCGTGGCGCGGCACATGTCGAGGCATGGACACTTCCTTTACGGAATAGCAGTGAGCACCTGTTCTCCGCTTGTCTCGGCCAAAAGGTGTGTTGTCGCCGCTGTAGGTATGCGTCCATATTATGTCACACAAGCGATTGGCACAAGCTGAGTTGTTGTGTCCAATCTGCCTCCGCCCACCCCGGTAGATAGTGCGGTGCCCCGTTATCCTCACCGAACTCGTGTGCCTGACCGCATCCTGTATAGCTACTTGTTCGTTCGCCCCGTCGAGAGCACTGTTCAAGGTCTGCCTAGGGGAGACGAGACCGCACCGCGAATCGGTATTTTATCGTCGGTGACGCTTCTCTGGACATGTCGCGATATTGACGCCGTCTCCAGTGCGGGCCAAATCGCGGCGTTGGCCATGGTTTATGGGAAATCTCTGTCACCGGCATACCTCGTATTATTTTGGGCCTGATTGTGGTAGCGGATGTCCTTCGCATTCCGTCCGGCTTTGACTCGCGCCTCTGCTCCGAGGCCCGAGGGCGTCTTCGAGGAGATTTACGGGACCGATTCAGAGTAAGTACAATGGTATTGATTATGACATCATACAACTTATCCGGGCATGTACAGATGCGGCCGAGTTTTACGACATAATCAAACAGATTTACGAGGAGTCTCCTCTGTTACCTACGTCCAAGGACAGCCAAGGACCAAAGATTGATTGCTCAATACACGCGTCGAGCGTTTGTCACGGCATAAGTCTGCGCGCACGACGAAGGTTCGGGTCGTCCGGCCGTCTACCTACTCACACCCGGCTCGCCGCTACTCCGGGTTCCGAAAATGTGATTTCGTAGTCTTGGTGCGTTGGGTAATCCTTTCTCAATCCCACTGAACCGCCACCGTGTATACAATCACGGAATGTCATGGCGCGTCGTGCTAGCTACGCTTCGTCATGCTTCAGGCAGACCTCGGCCACTGGTCGGTGTTTCAACTCAATCGGGTGCATGGTTAAGGATCTCCCGACTGCATCATCTCCGTGCTGGAGCACTAAGTACTGAGTTGCCGGACTGCTTCGTGGCGGCAATGTCACCTCGTCGATATCGATCTCGATGGCCGCTGGACAGGACTTCCCGCCTGCGTAAGGTTTTCCGCCAGGTCAGTACCGCTCCTCTACATCCCCCCGTCGTCCGAGTATTTGGGCACTGCCTCATATATTCCTCAGCATTCTCATTCGGCCCTATGCCGAATTCAACGATGAGTCTCGCACGCATAGGTGAAGTTTATAATCATGACCACAATTCCCGCTTCAAGTGACATCACTCAACCAGTTGCGACTCGACGCAGCTGCGCCTGTCAAGATATGCGTAGGACGCAGCGTCGGGCTTCTTCAAGTCTGGTCTCTGCGATCCGTCACAGGTTTCCGGGAGCGTTCATGGCGCCTGACGCACAGTAGCTTGGGACAGACCAAGTGTCCTTGTCGTTCTTGTTCTCTCTACGTCCCAGGGAAAAAGTGGAATAGTATATATGTCGAGATCGCGATACAGGTTGCACCTTCTGCTGACATGTCTCAGGAATTTGCGACGTGTGCATCCGGTGTTTCCTTCGTGTGGACTACGCATCGGCATGCATATTGGAAAGCAAGGCCCAGTGCGATCATCCCAGTGTCGAAGCTAGTATTGTGAGCGTCGCCCGGAGGAAGGAGGCCCTCATGAACAAGGCGGTTTGGCGATAGACACGTACGCCTGCCGCGGAGGACTGGAACTCCCGGTCCCATTCGTCATGTAAACAACCGCAGACGTGCCAAAATGCCGTCACCATTTGCTTGCGAAAGGAGCCATGCGGCGCTATAGTGTAGTGGTTATCACTTGGGATTCTGAGCAATGGATGTTCCCAAAACCCAGGTTCGAGCCCTGGTAGCGCCTTCAATGAGTGTGCCAGTTGTTAGTTTTGTTGCACCAGTCAGATTCGAGGCCCTCATAATAAGTATGTAGTTTTGTTCGCTTTTTCATGATCTTTGTGGCTGCCGGCCATGCCCTCGGTTGTATCATCGTCTGTTATGACTGAATCATTGGCAGTTCAACTGCGCTATCTCACACCAAAGGTGCTAGTATAGTAAGTAGTACTCACACAGACGAATGACATCATGAAAACTGTTCGCGAAGATAGAAGCATATCCACCGGCCTCTCCGAATTTGTAACCGCAGAGACTTACTCAGCACTTACCTTCCAGCGGTACCGACGTTCAAGCAACAGTATAAAGAGCACACTCATCGAGAGTCGTGCACCTACTGCGACACAAAACTTCTAGTCCTCATTATTCGACATGCCAGCCATCACGTCTGGGAGGGTCCTCGTCACCGGGGCGAACGGCTACATCGCGGTGTGGATTGTCAAGTCCCTGCTCGACGCCGGGTTCGCAGTGCGCGGCACCGTGCGCGCTGAGAGCAAGGCGACGTACCTCCGCAAGCTATTCCAGTCCTTTGGGGACAAGTTCGACGTCGTCGTCGTCCCGGACATGACCAAGGTCCGTACCCCCCTTTGCCCTCGCCGACCCCAACCCGAGCTCACTGACACTCCATCGGCGATATCGATATCTTGCAGGAAGACGCGTTCGCGGAGCACGTCAAGGACGTCGACGCCATCGCACACACCGCATCTCCCTTCCACATGAACGCCGTCGACCCGGACGAGATCATCGGCCCCGCCGTCGCCGGGACGCTCTCCGTGCTCAAGGCGGCACACGTCCACGGCGCCGCCGTGCAGCGCGTGGTCGTCCTCTCCTCCACCGCGGCGCTCTTCCGCACCACCACGGAGCCGGTCGTGCTCGACGAGTCGGCGTGGAACGAGCAGGCGATCGCAGAAGTCAAGGAGAAGGGCCGCGACGCGCCCGCAGTCGCCAAGTACCGGGCGAGCAAGACGCTGGCGGAGCGCGCGGCTTGGGACTGGTACGAGGAGAAGAAGAAGACGGGGGCGGTGGGCTGGGACCTCGTCACGCTGAACCCGCCATTCGTGTATGGCCCGATCCTGCACGAGTGCGCCCGGCCGGAAGAGCTGAACCAAAGCATGCGCGATTGGTACCATATGATCGTCGAGGGCAAGATCGACAACGAGACGCTGGTCAATGGAGGGTACGTATGGCTGCGTCTGCTGACATGCCGTGTTTCCCATGAGCGGTGCTGATTGTGAGCTTGATATACGCATCCCAGGGCGATGTATGTCGATGTCCGTGATATCGCACAGGCGCATACTCTTGCGCTCCTCAAGCCGGATGCGGGCGACAATCGCTTCATCATCTCTGCGGGGCCCTACAAGTGGCAGGAGTTCGGTCAGTGTCCATCTTTGCTAGAGATAAGAACGAGACTCACACCTCGCTTCTCGCAGCTACTGCGGCCCATAAGTTCAGCGAGAAGCTTCCTGCGGGCGTCAGTTCGTTTGACCCCTCGAAGGCGACGCACCTTCTGCAGTACGACAACAGCAAGGGCATCAAAATCTTAGGCCTCAAGTACCGCAGCATCGACGAGGTCACCAAGGACTCGCTCGAGGACTTCAAGACTCGGGGATGGATCTGAAGTCGCACGAGGGTCTGAACATGATCAATTGTACGAATAATACGTTGTCCGTTGCAATGTCCTATACTCATCAGTGTCCAATGACGACCGTATGAACGGCCGAGGCGAACGTGTCCGATACCAAGTCCAACCTTTGGTAACCAGTGTCCTCAGCACGACGAGCCACATCACAAGTGCAGCAGGGAGAGCAACTTGTGGAAGTTCGGTGTGCCGAATCCAGTGACCTGAAACCCGGTGTCAGCAACACTGCGGACGAGAAGATGACACCGCGACGCACCGGATCCCAACCCTTTGTAGCTTTGAAGCCTCGCGGAGCATCCGTGGACGAGCACTGAATAGAGCTGTTCCCGATCGTGATGTCGGTGAACGCCTTATGCCCCTTCGCGTACAACCACGGGTTCAAAAACCCAAGCGGCGAACGTCCCTTCGCCAACAACCTGTCATTTATGAGCGCAAGGATCGACCCGACCGTTGGGCTGGAGGCACTCGTGCCCGTGACCGGGAAAAAGATACCCTCGTAAACGAGGAAGTTATCCGCCTTGGCGGCAATGTCGGGGAACGCGCGCCCGCTGGTGTTGAATCGACCTTCATTTCCGTTTTCCTTGCCGTGCGTCGCGAGCCAGGCGGATACGGCGGCGTCTTGGTAGGAGGGGCGGGCGTAGTAGTTGGAGAACCCGCCACCGGAATGGATCCACGCTTCTTCCGGGGAGAAGCTCTGCGTGCCGCCAACAGAGGTGACGCTATACGTGGAAACCGTCCTAGTGAGTACAACAGATAGCTGGCGAAGATGAGAGATGAGAGCTCACAATGGACAGTCAGAGGGGAACATGGGCGAGAACAGAGTCTGATTGGTTCGACCGCAGCCGACGCCGCTGTCTCCCGCTGCAAAGAGGATCGTCGTACCACGCGCGCCCAGTTGCGCGTACGCTTGACATGCTTTGCTGTTGGAATCGGTCAGATTCCATATCGCATGCGAGGTTTATCAAACGTACTCGACCAGATCAAACGTCAGGCTGCTTTCCGAGGACCCGTAGCTTGTGGTCAGCACGAGAGGCGGGTTGTCCAACGAGAGTAGAAAGTTGATTTCGTCGAAGAAGCCAAACAGGTCGCCGTCATGGATGTCGAAGCCTCCGAAGTAGTAGGTCACGTTCACATTGGTAGCGAGGCCGACCGTGTATTGAATGTCCAGTTCCTGTAAGAGTACACAGCCGTCTCAACGAATTGCAGTCGGGAAGAGATCAGGGTGCACGCACCCCTTCAGACACCGAAGGCGCAGTGGGGTCGTTCACGCCGCCGTCAAAGCCGACGAACGTGTAGTTCGTGTTCGGGTCCATGTCCGGGCGGTAGGTCTCCAAGAACACCTTGAGGAAGTCGGTGTGGGCATTGTTGCCGAAGAACCCCGTGACTCCGAGAGAATTGTTCTTCTGCGTGGCTGGCGTCCGCGGGATACCATACAGCTCCTGGAGGCAAGGGATGGTGGTATTGGTGGTGCTACATGCCGACAAAGGGTTGCGCTGCATAACACTGTGGAAGGAACGCTTCTGCTTCGGCGCGGAAGAGAGCTCAATATAGGACGGGAAACTACGAACGTAAGTGCTTTGCTCTCAAGAATACCGATGGTGACTTACGAGACAGTAGGGTGTACGAGGTCGACGTGGCCTTGCAGAACCTCAGGCAAGGAGTAGGACAACGTCCGCACGACGTTCTTGCCCGCGTCTCCCTGTGTGAACGTGGTGAAGTTTGCGTCGAAGAGCTCGTTGGCCTTGCTGACAGGAACTTGGATGCTGATCCAGTCTCCGGCAGGAGATAGGGTCGTTGCGGTGAGGCCGTTCTCCTGCAGCCAAGCATTGATGGCATCTTTTGTATCAGACTTTGGCGACACCAAGTCCTCGACCTGACATCAGATGAGTATATAAACAATTCAGGGGAAGAATTCGGTCACCGTCGCGTACCTCCTGCTTGGTCAAGTGTTGACCATACTTCGAGCTCGCGGGGTCGCTCACGCTGTAGAGCGCGTCTACCAGGCCAGGTGCATTGTCCTGCGCAAGTGCGAGACGTAAGGTGATCGTCTGTTCGGGAGATGCAGGGCCAACGCTCGTGAATCCCTGGGGCGCAGCGTTCAACTTTTCATGAACGCGGAAGTTCGCCGGTGCCATCGCGCAGACAAGCCCGAGAAAGACAAAGGGGAGGAAAGTCTTCGCGAGCATGGCGGGACCGCTAGCAGACGATGACCGCGACGGGCACCTTAAGTGCGTGGTGGTGGGTCGGAAAAGGATCCGCGGGGCAAGGGTTATATATGAACTGACATGCGGATGAAATTGACAGCAGGCTACGTTGCCCATGTGCTAGAGCCTAGCTCCGGGCGATGATTCTCCATCTTCTTTTGAAATGCCGTAAATACGTGTGTTAATCACATACATCATTCCAACACGGCGAGCTGCAGCCGTCCCCGGTTGACGCATGGTCAGTATGTCAGGATGAGGGAGCCAAGGAAGTTAAGGTTCGCGGCCTCGGTCAAGTTCGGTCGATGTGTCCGAGTACCCGGCGTCTGTGAGGGATTTAACTCCGGATATAACCATGACTGCGACCATAGGGTCCCTGCGTGTACACGAGGTCGTGAGCAGCTCCTTTGAAGGGAAGCGAAGTAGCCGTGTAGGCCGGGTGCCGGATGAAGTTGCCTCGAGACTTCGTTGAAGATGCACCTCGCGAGGGTTTCATGCCAGGTTGAGAAAGGCTGACAGATTATCGACTTACTCAAACTGACAAGCTCCTAGCGAGGAGGGTTCAGAAGTTGGCTACCGGACGCCATGGTAGATCTCGGCTGTTGCACAACTGCTGTGGGTAGCACTAATAGTACTGATGCCTTCGTCGTTTGGAGCTCTTTCACCAGGGTTCTGCAGTATGCATCTGAGACCGTAAGACATCATCTGTAGATCGTTTTTAGGGCGATGTTGGGCTCGAGTAACCATGGAGATAATCGACCAAGCAAGGCAGGAGGAGGAAGGGCGGACACCAATACCGCCTTCAAGACGCTTGATGAATGGCACTGTTACATACCACTGCCACGTGGCGGATTACCACTCTCAAGTTTCAACCACCGTGACTCGGAGTTCGGCATCTCCTCAGCCTGTCCTTCCTCTGCAAGTTTTGAACGTAAGTCCTTACTGGCCTGGAGGGCCGCGATCTGGTTTCTGCTGAAGTCGAATTGAGGTTAGTCGGTTCCATTTATCATGACAGTACTACTACTAATTTTGATTCATGAGTCCGTACGTGACGGGCAGTGGCTGATCCCAATGTCAGGACATAGAAAGTGTACGGTGACCGCGGAGAGCACGTCTTGCGTGAACATGAGG